AAACCGTCATCCTCTTTCAGCTCAACTCTCTCCCCGGGCTCCTAGGTCAGCAGCCGCACTTTGCCATTCCGAGCCGCGGCAGGCTGCCCCAGCTTCAATTAGGTCAGGGTGTGGGGGTTGATGATGATCGAGCAATCAGGGACCATGTGGGAAATCTGCTCTTAAGCTATGCAAGCTCCGAATTAGCTCCGTTCATCAGGGGCGGCATGTTTACTTCATTTCCGTGGGTCAGACTCAAACAGGCATCCTGCCATGCTTTTCGCACGGGGCATCCTGTCCAGCAGCTTGGCGAAGGGCTACTCTGTATGCAGTTCGGAAATCCGCTCTGGGCCCAAGAGCACTTAAAGCCCCACGCGACGGAGCAGACTGCAACAGCCTTTGCAAACATCTAAATTGGATCCCAACTCATGCGCATCCCCTCACAAAGTCTGAATAGCTTGAGAATCCCATTCTGACTTGTTACAAGTAGGATTGCGCCGTGCTTTCGCACGCGGACACATGTGTGGCTGCAGGCCTCGCGCGCACTGCAAAATAGGCTATTGCACATAATTACTCTACTGCGTGGGGCCATCTGCTGCGTCAAAAACCCTTCGTCTACAGCATCCTCTTTCCGATTTCTGTAGTCTTGCTCCTCGCCGGGACGCTTGGACCTGTTGGACTTGTTAAATGTAATGCTTGGCATTTGCTGCCGCAGGGGTGGCTTAACAGCCGACCTTCACATTTTCACTTGTTCCTTTTTCCGTGTGCCATCCCGCGCATGTCATCCCGCGCATGTAGGGCTTAGAGCTTGAGGCTTGGATAAGAAAAAGGTCTGACTGGAGCGGCCCCATGTTCAAAAAAACAACAATATGTAGGGCGTTTGCAGAAAATGAAGCCTGCGCTTCTCAGCTATGAAACCGAGCCCCTTAGATGTCCTGAAGACTCCATGGTTTATGGTTATATGGATTTGCATTGTCATAAGCCCTGCAAGGACAACACCAACCATAAGGGCGACTCATGCTAAGGCAGTGAAGAACGTCAATGAAAGCAATGCCAAGGGGCGAACGAATCGTCCTGAACCCCATACTTGAGGTAAACATGCTTGAGGAGATGCGCTTCCCTGTAACATGCATTGGAGACCTACCTTGCCAAGAAGGAAGCTAGACAACGATTTTGAAGCCTTCCAGCGCTACTAGCACCACAGAGGCTGCATGGGAATGTATAGACATCACAGCAGCGCCTCGTGGGTTTATATAGTAAATGTTCAGGTTGTCGTTCTACTCGACCTTTCCTCTTCCAGGAGAGGTTTGGGAGACGGGCCTTAATCATTCCTGCGCTTGCAGAATTCCTCATGACACTATAGCACCCAACTTGCCTTCCACCACGGATGCCCCAAAAAAGCTGCAGCTACCCCTCGGCCAGCGGCGTCCATACGCCATTACCCAGTCCCTTAGAGTTTTTCTGTGGGACTGGGACAAAAGTTGGCGGATGCGGCTTTGCTGCATGCCTCGTGGTGACGCTGGTGGCAATAACCTAACATCATGCACTATCCTGTGCCCGTAGTGTGCTGAAGCCGGACAATCAAGAGAGCATTTGGCAGTCCTACAAAACCCCATCAGCCTAGGATACGACCATATTTTGGGGGGCGTGCCTTTCACTGGTGTTCAGGAGAACTGTGTAGAATGAAATTAGCCCATGATTGGAGCAAAAGTTACATCCGCAGAACCAATCCTGCCTTGTGTCCCTGAAGTGCACCAATTGGTTGCAAATCACCAGCAAAGGCCTACAGCCAAAGCCACCGCCAGGGCCCAGCGAAGTGACCTTCGTCAGCAGGGTGGGCTGTGAGCTGAAAAGGTTTGGGGCCATTCTAGAGCATCTATCAAGGCAGATATAAGTAGCGTCTAAGTATATGGGAATACCAGGATTGTGCACACAGGTAGTTGCAAAGGGCATTCTGTTGCTTGAGGACTTGGAATCATGCGTTTCCGTTAAAGAGTTTATGTCGGGTTTCATGTAATGGCTTAGCATTTTTATCTTCAGTCTGTAGGTGTCAAAAGATTTAGAAGGCTTCTGGGGAGGTCTTCGGCTTTTGGGTCCTGAGGTCTGCATGCTGTCAGCTGTGTACCCAAGCAGTAGCAACTCCAAACATGTGGCTGTCAGGCAGTTCACACTCAAGTGGGGAGACTGCTCATCATTACCTCCCAAAACTGTAGCTATCTGGGAGTGCGCTGGGCATGTCCGTTTTGGGGTGTCACGCGCACACGCAACTCGATGTTCTAGGATGCATCTTGTGGCGATGCAATTCTTTAGCCCATTGCAGATCTTGGAAAATGAGCATGCGGGAGCGTAGTCTTGCTAATGAAACCTTTGGTATAGAAAACCCACTACAACTCAACACAACGCCTGTTAAGACCTCAAAGCCGAATGAATGTTCTCACGTTGACAAGCATCCCTTGCCCTCGGCCTCGGGGGGCTCGCAAAGTCCAGGGCAATCGCATCCTGGAATCCTTCCAGACTCTTGCTAACAGCTTCTTTCGGGCTGGTTGGTGGACCTGGTGAAGCAGCACTTTGTTCGCCGCATGCTAGGCAGCCCGCATGATGAAGATATCATCTCCTACGTTTTGAGTCCCCAGACTCATGTCGGGGGGTTGCCTAGTCGTCTCATGGACTTCCAGGCCGTCAACTGTCAAGTGCAATTAGGCCACGTCTGTTCTGACTCCACTTCCTGCTGTGCCCCATTCGCCCTTGTTCTCCCTTCAGTCTGCTTGAGCAGGCCCAAGTATAGTCGTATAGCCGAATGCGCCCTAAGCAAGGACAAACGGCCCCAACCTTTCACAAGCAAAGCACAAACAAAAAAGAACCCAGGCCTTGGCTAGCGCCCGTCGAGCTGACATCAGAGCCTCGTCTATCTGTAGCAACTCCGTGCTTCAGGTATTATGGTATCAGGCTTACGAAGCAAGCAGAGCAACATTGACGTCGATGGTGTGGAGTTGCTAGGGTGCAGGTCTGGTAGGTTTAGCGCTTTGGATTGTGTGCCATTCCATCTGGGCTGTGATCTGTTCTCGAAAGTCGGAAGGAGTATCAACAGGTTCAGTGTCCACAGCTTTTTTGCGAGGTAGCCCAGCCAACACACGCATGCCCGAAAAGAACGGGTGACATCTGCTAGACCTCTCCTCATCCTAATCCTGGGCAGCATACTTCCACACACCACAATCGACATACACCTACCCGGCTCACTGCCGGCCCTAATCTCAGAAGTTATGAACTGCTAAGCGACGCCTGCTTCTGATTTCTTCTGGGGATTAGCAGTGTAGTGCAAGAGGATTGCAGGAGTCTCCTGAAGGATTGCATGTGCTGTTGAAGAAGCTCCGACATTCCTTGCAAGAGCCTCTCCCCGAAAGTCTCCATCCCATGCAGCGAGAGCCGCTCTGATGTGCGTCGTTCGCGGGAGGGCCCGTGGAGGAAACGCCCGCCGCTGGCGGCTCGCTGTCGGCCTGGCAAGGGAGCATGGTGAACTATGGAGTCGCGGCTAGCGGGATGAAACTGGATACACTTTTCAAGTTCCTACGGTAGGCGAGAGGCAGGTAGGAACAGGCCACGACTGGGGTAAGGGTCTGGCTCTGGCGTCAGGATACGATGAGATTGAGGGTGGCAGGCCATGGGAATTCAGGCGGTGGATAGCTTGTAGAGGTGATGCCGGCGCTGCGTTTTTTTGTTAGAGTCGACCTTTTTGGCCTTGCGGAGCAATGTGGCAGTCTGCTATGAACAACAGGAATCAGCTAACATAGTGTTCCGTCTGCCAAGAACCCCAATCTCTTCCGAATGCCATGTCCGCAGTATCCAGGTGATTCCAGAGGCTTGCTTCTGCACTTGTTTTGCTCTGCGCATCTTTCTGAGCAGCACATTCCCTGCTTCGAGGATGACAGTTAAAGCAGCTTAAGTTCCAGCCTTATCTATCGTTGTGGTCCCAAAACTTCCCCCCTGACCTGCTGTGCCTACTTCGTTATACTCTACCGAAGCCCACACCCAAATTAGGGGAGCTTCCCCGTTCCCACCTCTTGTCATAGGACCCCTCAGAATGCAAGACACCGAAAGAAGGGAATGCCAGTTTAAGACAAGCCCTCCCTTGCGCACCGCCTGCGACGTCTGAGACGTGCTGGGCGCTCGCGAGGTCAGGGCAGGCTGTGTCCTGTTAAGGTTTATAGGAAGTCAGAGGTTTGAGATGTAAAGGGCTTGAGTATTGGGACTGAAGAGGGTTCAGGGGCCAAAAAATGTTACAGATCCGCCGAGGTCCCTGGCCTCTGGCATTTCAGGGAGCCCAACCCCCTCCCACCACCGGGTCGCATGTTGGGCGGGTAGCTCTCGTGGGACTAGAAGCCTGGGGGTCGGGCCTTAAGTTGCGAGCAGGCGGGTTTGGTGACCTCCAAACCCCACCCGCCCCTCGCCCCGCCCTCCCTCCCCCTCCGTCTCACAGCTGCCCTGTCACTTGCTCTGCTTCTACATGCTTTCTGTCCTCCTCCGCCGCCGACCGCTGCTCGAGCCGGCCGAGGCGGAGCGCGGTAGCGTTAATGTTACAAGTGTCTGCTGCGGTTGGAGGGTCATGCGGGGCCTGTGAAAATTGATAACATATATGCTGCCCTGTCCCAGCAACGGGAATCTGGGAGCTTCTCAAACTTGTTTCTGTCAGAGGGATGCAGATCCTCCCTCAAACACTCCAAACCCTCAGGTCTATAGTCCAAAAAAAATTAACTCTGCTTATAGATTCTTACGCGCGTTCCCAAGAAAATCCTTAACTCTGTCCTCAAGCTCGTGGAAGCTGATGGGGCAACTTCTGGGACGCTTTTCACGGCCTGAACCACGTCGGTTTGCGCCCTGGCAGAATTGGTTTGCAAGGACCTCACCCTCGCTCGTGACCCGTGATTTGAGACATGCCCTGGAAACATGACATGGGGCTTGTGCTCAGCCAAGCGATGTGGATCATCTCGGTTCTCTTCAGGGAACAAAATGTGCCCTGCATGCTCTCAGTTGCAGGTAGCGATCTCGCTTGCATAGCCATCAATTAAGCGGAGAGCATTCGATGGCTCCGGAGCAAAACTATGTGAGATCAGCGCCCTAACGTGAAACGCTCGTCCAAGCGGCTCAGTCTCCTCCTGCGAGGTGCTGGGCGCAGCGGTGCTGGATGTGTCGGGCGGGTTGCAGGCATCCTGTCAGGGCACCGAAATCCAGGCCGCGTGGCTGCGTACCCTCAGTAGACAGTAGAGACTCCAAAAAGAAGCCCAGCTCTGGAGACCAGGCTTTGGGCAACCTTGACTCACACTATGGATCAGCAAACAGACTTGCTTGCTCTGTCTGCGTTTCCGTCAACCAGCTCCTGGAGTTCCTGTTCACTACGTGGCACGTGGAAGAGGTTGTAGCTCTCCGCCGTGTCAAGCAGGCTGTCACATGCCGTTGTGTCCATGCAAAGGAATGTGGCGCTGTTGGCGCAGACCTTACTCGTCTCTTGCCCGGCTTCCCTGCACTCAGCTTTTAACTTTTTGTAGCTGCTGTAATGCCCTCAAAATGAAAGGTTACTCACTGGGCTTCGGAGAGACATAGGGTAGCGGGTCAATGTTCATCAGGGCCTGCATGATGAGCGTCTCCAAATGAGGACAGATGTCGGGGCACGCTGCGATGCAAGAGGGCGCAAGATCCTGGCTGCGTGTGGCGTCTACCAGATTTAGGTCTAGCCGTCTAGCCATCTTGTAGCTCAGTACCTTGTTGATCGCGACTCCAGGTATTGGGTCTGCCCGCTTTTCATAATTTTTCATAGGCTGTTGTGTGAAGGGCTGGCTTGCTTGAGGCTCGTTCTGAATCCGAGAACACCGTCACACTCACTGTGAAGTAGTAGTGGGCGACTGCCAGCTAGCAGTCGCGCTTGGCGACTCTGTCGCAACAAGTCTGGCATAAACCTCGGGTCTGAATAGTTGAAGGGGATGTGCTAGGCACTGTCGAGACCCTCTTGCTCTGCACAACACCCAAAGTAAAAGAGAGTGCCGACTGCCAGCCCGAAAGCGGTCAGTTCAAATGGGATTCACAGGTTAACCTTGCGTTCAAGATGTCTAGAACTCATATATCCGCTCATATCCGCCTTGACCGCAAGGAGGAGGCTGGAGCCGGAGCAGGCTTCCGTTTCCGCAGACGCCTTGCCCTGCAGAATGCAAAGTGTCGGCATTAGGGCGGCTTTGCGAGATTCTGGGCTCGGGCGTCTGAAAGATCAGGAGTACGGGCAACTCAAGCAAATGCTTAGTATTGAGGTTTTAAGCTTACAAGCTTCATATATATGTATGGTCACCCCCCCTGATCCATATTTATATCTTTCTTATTGTTCTCCTTGTCCTAACAATGGAATCATTCGTACATGTCAGAACTAGCCAAAAACACTGGTATCTACTGTGTTTTCGCCCTTTTTTCATGACTTACATATTATATGTGATATGGGTGTATTTCAACCCCTTAAATCCTCAAACGGAATCCGTTTCTGATTCTGGTTTGTGCATTTGGCTGACACAGAATAACTTAAATGTAAACATCTTAATGCGCTTGAAGCCATCAAGCATTTTTCAAAAGCTACATCAATTCCAGTCCAACAGAGAAGTAGCAAATGATTGCTATACTTGAAGGATTCCAGGATTCCCGTATTACACTTAACTAATCTGTATAAGGAATGTATGTAGACCAGCATCCGATCCAAAACCAGGAATCCAGGATTTCCGTATTATTTCTAAAAATAATTTATAGGGGATTCATATAGACCAGCATCTATTCCAAAACCAGGAATCCAGGATTCCAGGATTTCCGTATTATTTCTAAGTATAAAAAAAGGGATTATTATAGACCAGAATCCATGCCAAAACCAGGAACCCAGGATTCCACGCTTTTCGTATTAGCATCTAACTAAATTTAATAAGAGATGTATATGGACCAGGGCATCCAAAACCAGGAATCCAGGAATCCAGGATTCCACGATTCCCATATTAATATATTTAATCCAGGATATCCGTATTAAATCTGATTAGCTGTAATACGGGATTTATAAAGACCAGCATCCAATCCAAAACCAGGAATTTGTGCACTGCAGCATTTGGTGATTTTTTCTCATTGAAATGCTTGACCTTTTTGTGCATCACAGCATTTGGTGGTATCTGAAGGTACCAAATGCTGTAATGCACGAAAAGTTCAGAAAAAATGATTAACAACATTACCAAATGCTGTAGTGCGCAAAAAGTTCCAAAAATCGTTTAAAAAAGAATGCTGTAATGCACAAAAAGTTCAACTAATCAAGCTTCTGGGACTTACTATAGCCGAGCTTCCAGCCGCAAACCCCAAAACCATTGAATTTTTGAATTTTTGGTGCATTACAGCATTTGTAATGTTTTATCATTGAGATGCTTAACTTTTTTGTGCATTACAGCATGTGGTCGTATCTGAAGCCACCAAATGCTGTAATGCATCAAAAGTTCAGCAAAATTCAATGTTTTTAAAAAAAAACCGAATGCTGTAATGCACAAAAAGTTCAGCAAATTGGTTAAAAACCGTACCAAATGCTGTAATGTACAAGAAGCTCAAAATTTTCCAGCCACAAGTCCCAAAACTATTGATTTCTTGAACTTTTTGTGCATTACAGCATTTGGTAACGTCGTTTAATTTGAACTTTTTGTGCATTACAGCATTTGGTAATGTTTTTAAATCATTTTTCGAACTTTTTGTGCATTACAGCATTGCGGGGTATCTGAGGCCACCAAATGCTGTAATGCACAAAAAAACTCAAAAAATCATGCTTCTGGCACCTTCCAGCCACAAGTCCCAGAACCATTACTTTTTGAACTTGTTGTGCATTAGAGCACATGGTACTGTTTTCTTAATGAAAATGTTTGAACTTTTCTGTACATGACAGCATTTGGTAGGGCTTTTTCATTAAAACTATTGAGCTTTTTGTGCGTTACAACGTTTTCTTAACCCTCCACCCCCCATGATTCGACACTAAAACGTGGATCATGGGGGGGGGGGGGGTGAGCATATATATATATATGCATATATATATATTATATATATCTCTCTCTCTCTCTCTCTCTTTGTTTCTTGAGGGTGTATCTATCTCTCTCTCTCTCTCTCTCTTTTAGGTTCACAGCTTTGAGTCAGCTTTGGGGCTTAAGTTAGTCTAAGTTCCCATCGCGCGCAATCTCACAAAATTATCCACTAGCCACTTACAAGAATGAACCATGCCAAAACAGCCCAGTTTCTGGCGCTCTGTATTCCTTGTAGGCGGACCTTCTTGTCAACAATTTCTCGGCCGCACTGCGGCTTACTCGGTCTCACAATGCAAAGCTCGAGTGGGGTCTAGGGTGGCTGAGAGTGTCGAATGGCAGACGCACGGCCACACCAAATCATTGCAAGCCGTCTTGCCTAATCGCTTCAAGGACAAGCTCTGTTTTCCTGAACACCTATTCATATCAGCGCAACTGCCAGCCACTTTGGGGCTTACAACCCTTCCATATCCGGAAGAGAGCCCGACACTGCAAGCCGCAACCCAAAGCATGCCTCTTCAGCAGCCCGTACCTGTCATGATAGCCATGCATTGTCCATGTTGTGTATGAGGCATGAGAGACAGTATTGGCAGCGGTCAGGATGACAGTTTTCGCTGTTGTCGTCGTTCTCCTCGCCAGTATTATTAATGTCGAGGTGGCAGCGGCGGCAGGGTGGTAGTGGTGTCTCCGTGATAGCATACAGGAAGTAGCCGGAGAAAGCGGGTCACGCGCCTTCTCGTTTATGCAGGACTTTGTGTATTTTGGAGCTTGGTCTCTTAAGGCGCGTTCGGCTTGCAGACAACTCGGCTCTGAAGTTTTCAGGTCTTCAAACTTCAACTGTTGGCTCAGATGTTCATCTGTCTGAGACCCTGGCCCTGGTACAGTACCCATGAGAAATTCATGGAAGGGGATACTCAGAGTATGCAAGGGAGTAAGTACACATGCCCAAGCCAGAATCACGGTCTTACAGGAGAGCATTCGGTGCCTAGAGCATCCATACCCAGACCGTGCGATGTCCAGAGCAAACCACAAAAACGTCTACCACGGCGACGATGCAGTGACCAAAGCACCCATGCCTAAGCCAGCATAGCCACATCCATCCCAAAGGCATTTGGTGCCAAGCATCCATGCCCACATCAGAACTGCGATCTTCCCAGAGAGCATACGGTGGACAAAAAGTATCCATGCTATTCCATGATCAAACCATTTTATACCATAATGACGTCCGTCCATGCGGTGACCCGAGCGTCCATGCCCAGATCGCAGGAGGAGAGTCAGTAGTCGTCGCTGTCATCGTCGTTGTAGCAGTAGGAGAAAGAGGAGGAGGAGTAGTAGTAGTAGTAGTAGTAGTAGTAGCAGGAGCTGGAGCAGCAGCAGCGGCAAGGAGATTTGCGCTAGTCGTTCTGCAGGTGTTCTTTTCGCAAATGTCGTCGATCTCCTACTGGGAATGTAACTTTCTATTCTTGCGGTAAAGCAGCCTAAATATTTTTTGAAAGAAAACAGAATGCCTCCCTTGCTCCTGCAAGTCAGCAAATGGCTTAGGCCGGTACCGAGGCGACCATGCAAAATGCCAGCGCACGCCAGGCTGCCATGATGCCTATTGCAAACGCTCGACGGGTCTACCAGAAGTGCCTCGCAGGGCAGGTGTTCCAAGCTGAAGACGCTCGAGCGACCACATCAAGCTGCAAAGGTGGTGACGTGCTACATACAGCTGCGCTGATTGTGCTGTGGAGCCCCTCACGAGCAAAAGCTTATAGCTTACAAGCCAAATGCTGCAGGCAGCGGGGAAGCGTTCTGGTTCGATCTGGTGCACTTGCTCTTACGCTGCGCAAAGAGCACAGAAACCATTGTACTCATGCTTGCAAGTGCTTGTTGTACCCAGGGTTTCTGATGATTGCCTATGCCACTTGCTTGTGCGGATCACATTCTTCTCACTTTAGAAATCAGGTAGCAGCAGCAGCAGCAGCAGCAGCAATTGCGCCAACACTAGCATTAGGGCAGGGAATGCGCAAACGCCCAGAATGCCAAGGCCAATGCAGAAGACTGGAGAGACAATCAGCATGTGTATGAACGACTGTTGACAGAGTCAACGCAATCACGTAGTCCCCTGTGACAGACATGAAATGGATCATCACAGCAGAAGCGATAAAAAAATGGTATTGCAATTCCAAAGGCCTATATTGATAGCTCTCAATACAAGAGTGCCAGTCAGTTCCCCAGAGAAATGAGCGGAATCTCTGCAAATCTCGGTGCAACATTTGCAAGCGCAACTGCAAGAAACCTATGTTTTGTATGCTTCCGATGATTCGGTGCTGACTGAGCTCAGTTCGTTCATAGCATTCCGCTAGTTAACACCCACCGTTAGGGACCGCCCTGGGCACTACATCTGCACATGCTCGACATAAAAAATCTAAACTGGTCTCCAGTCATGAGTCTCAAGCCACAAGCCCACAAACTCGCTTTTTTCGCCCGCTATGGTGGCTGCAGCCATCGGATTTCGCAGCACATGCGACCACAAAAAGCTCCCATTGAGGAGCTCCTGCATGCTGCGGATCTGCTTTTGTGCAGACACAGACTGGGGCAATCTGGCAACGTCAATGTAGAGAGTTCAGATTAAGGTATGTAAGGTTGCCCCCCTCGACTTGGAACCCTCAACTTTACCACCCGTGAAAGCTCCGTGGTTGATAGGAATCTTTTACAGGCCTGGGCTACCCCCAAGGCTTAGCTGCCAAGTCTTTAGTATCCCCAATGTGGGCCTGACATCAGTTCTCACATTGCGGCAGTACTCCCGACAATCACTACAAGGTTGAGGGTGTAGGATGCAGACTTACGGCTTGGACCTTGCACTTGAGAATGCTCTTTGCACAATTACACTTGAACGTCCTGTCCTGCTGAACCTGCTATTTCCTGTTTTCTAGCCATCATGCGATCATGACTTCTTTGCCGGAGGCTTAAATGATGCGAACAAGGCTCTTTGGGGCAGCTTCGTGCTCAAAATTCTGCAAGTGGAGAAGGGAGGGGACGTGTATTAACAAAGCTCCTGTTCTAGATTCATGAGGAGAATCGGCTTTTCCATGCGAGACACGCCTTGCTTTCAGCAAAGCGTCCTGTCCAGCAACCTGGCAAAAGGCTGCTGTATAATGCGGACCCCTGACTCATGAAATCCGTTTTGTCAAGGGGCCCATGTGGCCTCTTCTGAGAAAGCCGGTCCTCAGGAAATTCTTGTCAGGGGTCTGCATGAAGCAGTTCGGAGGTCCTGTTCTGAGCTCAAGAGCACTTGGAGCCCTGTGCGAAGGAGCTTGCTGCAGCAGTCTGTCCAAGTTGCAGGGAAACAGAGCTAGGGGACAATGTACATTTGCAAAAAAAATTGAAAATCTAGCGAGGGATCCTTGGAGCCAGGCCCACAACCTTTCAGAAGCCCTGTCCAATCCACCTACGAGGTCTGGTACTGAAAGGTGTTGCCGAACAGCACGTCAGGTACCCCCGCCACCCCCACGCGCCACAAAAGCAGATGGACTAGACAGACATACATCTTCCTCGAAATTTTGCCCATCTAGCGCTCTACTATAAAAAGTATGAAAACAATTTGAAGGACTAAACATGACTTTCATGCTCGTCGGCTTTTTGGGTAGTGACGATCGCCACGCATACGCCGGTGCGACATTGATGCTTTGCTTTCACTTCGGGCAATATCCAAATGTACAGGACCGTGCCGACCCGTTGAACAGCAACAATGTCAGTGACATGAGTTTGCCAAATTTTCGCGTCTTAGTGCCGTGCCTGCGCGCTTACGTCCTAGAAGCAGGCACTACCACATTATGTCACATTGAGACTTTTGTAGCGCTGCTCCTCGCTGGGATGACCTGCCGGACGTGTTAAATGCAATGCTTGGCATTCACTGCCTCAGGGGTGGCTCTTTTCTTGATCCGACTTTGACAGGCCTACTGCGGGTCTTCTGTGTTTTGTCAGGGAACCTCGGGCGCTTCTAGGTGCTCAGGATGAAGATGGAGGTCATGTTCTGTCTGAAGCTCCCTTTTCATCAGCCTTTCCGTGTTTAAGACGTAAGGTGTCGAGGTTGAGGGCTTAATTGCAGCCTTGAGAGCTACGAACTGCTGACACATGTACAGTCTCTCCCGACTTAGTGTCGCCGTTCACAAAGACCGTAAATAAAAGTTGACATGAACTTTCACAACAGTTGTCCCCATTCATGGTAACTGCAGAGGGCGAAGATCATGCTGTAGAGCACACAGACCCTCAACTCAACTGAAACGGGCTTAGGGGGACTACTGTTCCACACTATGGTATCATCTGCAGACTTGTTGTCCGCACGTCTGTTTAACGCGCGACTTCCGGTGCTTGTGAGGTGCTCTACAGCAAAAGCAGTCCCACTCTTTCTACCATAGCGGCATTCCACTACAGCCCTTGTTGCAATGCAAGGATACACCTAATAGATAATAATAGCAGAAATTTACAAGTTTGTTCACCTTCGTTTGGCTTCTTCTAAGTATGGTCCTTGTTGAGCTTACGAAGTAAGTGTCTTATTCGGAGAGGTTCTTTAACGGAGATGGATGCTATTATTGGGCGCAGTTGGGTGCGCAGCTACTGACCATTGGCCGTGCTTCCCCACCCTCTGCAAGATTTGGCACCCAGAATACACGACCGCTTTAAGATCACCCCTGGGCTTGTGGCGTCCATGCGCCATTACCCAGTCCCTTAGAGTTTTCTGTAGGACTGGGACAAGAGTTGGCGGATGCATGCAGCTTTGCTGCATGCCTCTAAACTCATGCATGTTGGATGCTAGCAAGGAAGACAGACACGGAGCAAGCCCAAGAAATGGAACCGTCAGCAATGGCGCAAAGGGTCATTCATACATGATACTATAGATAGGAGCTTGCACGCGGAAAGTAAACAACCGACTAGGGTGAATAGGACCAAGATGTTGATGCAATCTCTGGCAACATAGTCCAAGAGAACCCCAAAATGATGCCTCAACCACAAAATGAATCTCAAGGTACCAAGGCGCAGCTAGCTCAATCTGTGCGTGGGCATCAAATCAGTACTTTGCGCCTTAAACATCGAAGCTCCAGGTACTAGGCTCGTCGACCAAGTTCCAAATTCCCCTAGTACAGCCCACGTGCAATCACTTTATAATGGATTTTTTGCTGCAGTCCCTAATGCTTTATACGGCTATGGCTATGAAGTTCCTTATCGGCAGGCTTCTACATGAATTCTCTAAGGTGCACCAGTTGCAAATCACCAGCAAAGGCCGACAGCCACAGCCACCGCCAGGGCCCAGCGAAGTGACCTACAGCGGTTTCTTTGGATTGTTAAGGGCCCAAGGCCGTTGTGGTTAGGCTGTAGCCGTTCTTGTCTCTGGGGATTTTCGGGCGAAGGGGGTTGGGGATGCTACAGCCATCGCCTTATCCTAACGTCCCTCGACGTGAAGACGATGTTTACTGACTGAAGTTATTTCAAGGCTCCTGAGGTCCTCTTGAGCCCCTAGATTGGCCTGCCTATCCACCGTATATCATCTTTAGAAACTGTCACTAAATAGATTCTCCTTTCCCAGCAACAGAACGCCAGATCCCTGGCCAACTTCCGCTGGGCTTAGAAACAGGAAGCAGAACTATGTCGCTGTCTCCTGGCATGTAGGGAATTCTAGCGCCGGGAAGGCCTTTGTTCCTTTACTATGCTGCGACCCTATGTTTGCTGCAGGTACTAACGTCAGTATACCAAATTTGAAAGTAGGCCCCCTTCTCTGCAATTCTTGACCACGCATCGAAGCCGAACTCCTCTCTATGGGAAACCGAGTACAGCCTCGGGCAAGTAAGGCAGACTCTTGCATTCTGTGCGGAGCTGCCAACAAGTTAAAACGAGGTACTGTAAAGGCTCCTGCCGCTCCTCCATCAAAGATCCAGGAAGGATAAACTCAAACTCTACAATGGATGTTGTCAAAATTAGGGTCACCTTTGTGATGCACACCCTCCTGCTCTGCAAAATTGGGCATGCCCACACACACACCATCCCCTATGTGTACACTGAGCCTTGGGGGGCTGGCAAAGTCCAGGGCGATGGCATCCTGGAATCCTCCCAGCTTGCTTCCGGCTTGCAGGGTCCGTGTGGAGAAAGGGGGACATTCGGCAAGTGATTAGCTGCATCCCTTCATGGCCCGTAGGAGGAATCAGGCACTGTAAAGATGTACTCAGGATGAAGATGGGATTTACTACGGGGTTCATAATTTGGGCTGTCTATCTGATTCCCGTCTCCTATAAGTCCTCGCATCCAGGAAGCCTGTGTAAGGGCTTTGTATATTTCCTCGAGGAACTGAGGAATTCAATCCTTTGACATTACAAACGAAATCCCGAGAACTTGCAAGTTTGCTGGGCTCATCTAAACGGGCCGGAACAAAATTATTTCCTCAAAGTCTCAACCATGTATACCCAGGATTGCGTTCATGCATTTTTTGGGGTGGTTTATACTTCTGCAATGAACGCATTCTGTGGAGGACCTAAATTTCGGGAGCTGACACTTTTTGCCACACAATTTTGGATTCCAAGGTATGGCTCATTGCTTTTAACTCGAAATCCATGGAGATCGTTCAGATTGACCTCAGCTGCCTTTCACTTGGTTTCAATTGGCTTGGGAGAGCTGGCAGTGGGATTGAACAAGTCCGTTTAGGCAGCTTCGGACTTACAATTCAGCCGCAGTCAAAATCCGTCGTAAGGGCCTCTCTATTGTGACATGACTGACATGGCAATGTCTTCTGCACATCGTCATCTGGAGACAATGCCCTTTCATCGTTTATGCATGGCCTTTGAACATGTTTGGCTATGCGGCGCTGCCAAGTGTCTTGCACAGCCCTGCTCGTTGTAACGTACTGACGGCAGTTCCCGTCGAGTTAGCAAGTGCATGTGGCGATCGCGATTCATGGCGGCTGCATGAGCGAGACAACGTTTAGAACCCTGAAAGCCTGCCACAATAAGGAGAAGCAAATTGTTCCACAGGTTTCGGCGCATTCACTTGCCATCTGGAGCTTAGGGAATGAAAGGCTCTGGACCTAAGGATTCACCGAAGTCCAAGGCCTTGGCTGGCACCCGAAGAGCTATCATCCGAACCTCGCTGTGGTGATCGAAGAATAAAGGTTTTCTGGGAATGATTTCGGGTTCTACTTAGACGAGGCTACTTATGGCTTATGACTCTGAGTAAAATCCAGGGTTACATAATTCCTGGAGAACGTTCCGCGCTATGTCCCTCAGCTTTGTACCCACAACCTGGGGATGTTCTACAACGCTCAACTTCGAAGCAATGCCACGCGACTCTGATTGGCATCGTTGACAAGGGTGCTGGTAGAGGAAGTGCCCGTTGCCGGCGGCTCGCTGCCAACCTACTAGCTAGTCAAAAGGCTCCAGGAAGTGGGGGCTGAAAGAAGGATTGATTGTTGGGCCACCGGGACTTTAGTGCTTTTCACCGGGATTCTGGCAGGTGGGAAAAAGGACGAATTCAGGCCCTGCAGCTGAGGATTTGTGCACACAAGTAAAGTGCGACTTGGGCTTTGAGAGGAGAACTCGATAACCCTCAATAAGAGATGCCAGCTTTGGCTTGTTCCTTGAGACAAGATGGACCTACGATTCTGCTTCTTATTGCCACCACCCATGCAGCCATCGCAAACTATGCACGTTTGCCTCAATGTGCGCACAAACAAAAACGGAAGGGTAGCCGGTCAGACGGGCGACGCATGCCAGCACTTTGACCAGGCCTGCTCCTTTCTAGCCTGCCCTACCACCCTCCAACTACCAAAAACAATGCCACTCTCCAACGGAACACATAGCTGGATGGCAAGGGCTGGCACGTGACGAACCGCACCGACATCAGCTGTCGCAACGGCAATCACAGCAGAGGCCCCAGGACGCCAAACTACCACGACAAGGGCCACAAATAGGACTAACAATAAATGAGCCACAACCACCTCAACACCACGTCAAACAAATGGCAACACCAACAGCAAGCACACCGCCAATAATGATAAGGCCAACACCTGCACCAGCAGCCCGCCCCACGAACAGGACAACTGGCGACAGAGAAGAAGCAGCGGCAGCAGCACCACCACTAACACCAGCATTAGCATTAGTACCCATACTATATCGCCAACAACTACGCCCGCTGTTCTGCTACTGGCTACTGTTTACTCTCCTTTCTCTCCTCCGCAGATACCCCTGAATAATGTTTTTTCCGCTGCTTGCGCTAGGCTTCCGCTGCTTATTATGAGTGTGGTTAATATCACGCCCACCCCCGCCTGCGACGTCTGAGACGTGCTGGGCTCTCGTGAGGTGGTCGCAGATTCGGTCCTATCTCTCGCGATGAGCAGGGCTTGTTGCAACTGCAAGTCAAGCATGCAGGAATATGCATGGGCTGGCTAGCTCAGCTGCACAGCTCTTGCCACTGGACGGACATTCCCACTGCTAAATCGCACTCACCCAAAGCGAACAACACATCGTGGGCAAAGGTGTTTCTACTTCTGAACAGTACCGCCCGGCTACTCTCCCGCACTAAAACAATTCAGTCGTCGAGCGTGTGGAAGGTGATGAAGCAGCTTCTGGAACGTCTCGTGCAGCCTGCACCGATTCTGCTGCCACCAGCCCGCCGCGCACAATGAGTAGAAGGGCTGAAGCTGTGCAGCAATTGCAGTTATCATGGTGTTGCAGCAGCATCAGCAGCAGTGGTAGTCATGGTGGTGGTGGCGGCGGTGCGATGGTGGAATAACATTAGCAGTAGCAGTGCCAAGAGCGCCATTGTGATGTGCCTGATGATGACCATTGCAGGTTGTTGGCACACGCATCCTGCCTGCGACGTCTGCGACGTGCTGGGCTCGCGCGAAGTCGTGGGAGATTCTGTCCTGTTGCAGGGCGAGCAGCGCTCGTCGATATTATGGAGCTGACAGGGGATGATACCAAGAAGAAGGCTTGAGAGCACTAAGCTATGCTACTACTGTCACTCTAAAATATTGTTGCTACTTTCCCATCAAAACCCGAGCAAAGAAAACGATCCATGTGCAAGCGCAGAAAGCAGCTACAGCCATCGTGTCATCAGTGCTCGCTACAGCCAACATCTTTGTCCTCAAGCTTGTGGAGGGAGATGGAGCCACTTCTGTGACGCTTTGCGCGGCCTAAAACGAGACTATTGGCAGTGCTAATGCTACTTGTACTAGTACTACTCCTACTACTTCCTTCGCCGCCTCCAAAACTCACTTCTGCTCATGATTATCATAAGTACTGATGCTACTAGTGTTCCTCCTCCTCATCTGCTTCTACAGCTAGCGAGTGCATCTACCACACCTCTTGCGACGACGACTACTGCGACTCCTCTTCCTCCTACTGCTACTGCTGCTGCTGCTGCTACTGCTACTGCTGCTGCTGCTACTGCTACTGCTATTGCTACTGCTACTGCTACTGCTACCACTACCACTACCACTACTACTCCTCCTACTACTACTACTACTACTACCACTACCACTACCACTACCACTACTACTACTACTACTACTACTACTGGTACTACTACTGGTACTACTACTGCTACTACTACTACTACTACTACTACTAATACTACTACTACTACTACTACTACTCCTCCTGCAATTAGAACAGCCATTCTGTTTGGTATGTTTTTTTCCTGCTAGTGGTTTGTTAATCAGCTCCGCCTTCGACGTTCGAACCGTGCTCGTCTCTGGCGAGGTTGTGGTAGATTCTGTCCTAATTATCTCTCGGAGTGTGCAGGGATTGCAGACATTCCAGGGGGCGTGCTCTGCAAAATGCAGGGCTGTGAGTACTAAGCTGCAATGAGGTTGCCACTCCAATGCCAAAGGAGTGCACCAAAAAAACATAATGCGCACACCGCACACGACTACTCCGCATCTTCACAGTACGTGGCGTCATCCATAACGCCGTCCATCTGTGTCCTCGAGCTTGTGGAGGGCGATGGAGCAACTTCTGGAATGCCTCGTGCGGCCTGGAACACCACAAGCGGCAGTAGCGGAAGTGGCAGGAGTAGGCTGCTAATACCACTACTGCTACTACTACTACTACTACTGCTGCTGCTAATTTCTATTACTACTTCTAGTTCTACTGCTGCTGCTAGGTGTTCTAATGCTACTGTGCCAATGGCTGCGTGTTCTCTTCTGAAACATCCTTGGTCTGTTCATGTCTGCTACACTCTGCACTGTCAAGTTCCACGTGCTTCTCCGCAGTTGCCACTGCTACCGTGTGACTATAACGATGGCGAAAAAATAAGACCTCTTCGAGAGATTTGTGTTCTCTCGTGTGCTATCACGCATAGCCCGCCTTGGACGTCTGAGACGTGCTGGGCTTTTCAGAGGTCGTGGCACGCTGTGTCCTCTCTCGCAGGACGTGCAAGGACAGCAAGTTGTACATCGGCGAGAAAAGAAGCAGACAGGAATTGCAGGCTTGAACGAGAAAGTGGATACACTGACATCACCACTCGTAACACACAAACTACCCATGCGTAAAGACAACAATGCATACCAACCTTTTACATCTGCTCTCGAAGTACAATACCTTTTTGCCATGCCGAACCTTCCATGCCCGTCCTCGAGCTTGTGGAGGGCGGTGGAGTGACTTCTGTGACGCTTTGCGGGGCCTGAAGCAGCACAGCACCATTAGCAACTGGACGATGACTACCTCTAATGTAAGTACCCCTGCTGCTGCTGCTGAAGCCGCTACTATGACTCCTCCTCCTGCTGCTACTTCTACTATCAGTACTTGCTATGTTGTCCTTGTAGCAGGCAGTAAAAGTAGCAGCATTAGTAGGTTGTCGGAGTCGTAGTGATCCTCGTCGTCCTCCTCGCTCTCGTTGTCGGCGTCGTAAGCAGTGGTACTAGTAACGGTGCGCAGTACCAGCAACTGTGACAGAAGTAGTGTTGGACATGTTAAGGAAACAGTGGTGGCACCAAAGATTCATTGAGTGTGGTGGTGGTAGTAGTAGTAGTAGTAGTAGTAGCAGCAGCAGCAGCAGCAGCAGCACTTGCAGCAGTAGCAGTAGAAGCAGAAGCAGGAGGAGTAGGAGTAGGAGTAGTAGAAGCAGTGATAGTGCTAGTGCTGGTAATGGTAGTGGTAATAGCATACTAGGAGTCGTCGCAGTACCCTGCTACTAGTACGACTAGTCTGTCGTTTGTGATGCCACATTTTCAGGAAAGGTATCGCTCTAGTTCCATGCCTTCTGCAGTTTGAGCGTTCAGGAACGGCCCCGGCAGAGTTCTTTTTGTTCAACTGCAAGGATTACTTCGATCTTTTCTTCCTTGCCTTGCCAGGAGTAGTATGATGCCAGTATCAGATTTGGGGGTTTTCTCAGGTGTTCCCTCGTGTAGCTGGGATGAGAATCACGTACAGTAAGTTCTGTTTTGCGGTCCCCGAAGGCCTTCCCCTTTGAGCACGGTTTCTTACGGGCAGGCAGTAAGGTCCCAGACGTGAGGCTCCAAATCATGAGGACTCGAGGCGCTTTAGATTGGAGACCGCGCAGCAGAGACGCTATTTCAGAATGGAGCTTGCTTTGAGCCCCGAAGACAAGCAAGCAGTTGATCAGTTAAAGGTAGGCAGTCCAAAGTTTTCAGAAACAGAAGCCTGAGCCAAAAGTAAAGGCCTGAACTTGCAGCTTGGCACGCAAGGCTTGAGACCTCAAATCCTGAGCAAAACGCATAGTCTTTAAGCTAAATCTTGAGACTCAGGGCTTGATACCCGAATGCAGTAATCTTTTAATCCCAAATTTCAACAAATATTACAAGTAGGGGCCCCAAATGTTTGACACCAAAGACTCAAAATCGTAGTGCAAATTGGAAAATCCGAATTGCCCCAGAGCTTTGGTGAATAGATTCAAGAGCAAAAAGAAAGTCTTGTACCAATGCACTGTGCCTTGGACTAATGGGGCGTTCCTTGAACTGATGGGGGACACAAAATTGTGGGGCGTACCTTGGACTACTGGGGCGAATCAATACATAAGTCAGAACCCCTCACGTCTTTGGACTCATAGGGCATGCCAAAACTCAAAACATCCAGGCCCGGAACGGAATAGAAACTTCAGCAGTGGATCTCAGAAAAACACACGAAAAGGAAACCAGGTCCGTGCGGGCTTGCGTGCACGAAAATCCACAGTAAAACCACCAAAGCTGCAGGGAACACATTGCTCAAAGCAGTTCAGCAGTTGATCTCCGAAAACCATTTGAAAAGGAACCAGGTCCGTTCGAACTCGAATTCGCAACAAAAAACCATAGCAAAACCAATACGAATGCAAGAAAAACATAGCGTCACCTGTCCAGACGCACCACTTACAAGTCCAAGCAGCAGCAGCAGCAGCAGCAGCAGCAGGAGTAGTAGTAGTAGTAGTAGTAGTACTAGTAGTAGTAGTAGTAGTAGAAGTAGAAGTAGTAGTAGTAGTAGTAGTAGTAGGCAGGCGCCCCTCCCGAGAGCACTACGTTTAACTTAAATTCATTATAAGGACAATCAGCTAGTTGGGAATGGGGGAGGGGGCTAGTTCCGTGCAAACAACCTCAATCGGTAGGCAACAACTCACCCATAGCGCACGGCAGTGGTAAACACCACGGCGAGGTAATTCTGAGATCTCGCCGCCGGGGCAGCTGCGACGACCGCAATGAGCGACTGTGCTGGGAGTGGTAGCCGTATACTGGTGCCATGTTGAACTTGCCGCGGCAGATCCGCGAACGAGTTACATCTCACAGAAACCGCGTAGATGTTGCGCCTAGTTGCGCATCTACGACAGTTCACAACAGGGCGACGCGAGCGTGAAACCTGACCTCCGAAATGCAGATTTCGGAGGCCTGCATCGCTGCTGCCTGCACCCATCAACAGTGTGATAATATTCAAAGATATACCCACGTAGAGCCGGTACAAAATGGCCCCTTCAACCCACTTTTGATAGGTCCGGGCAGCACCCACTGTATTAAGATTACGTACTACTGCTACTAGCCGCCTCCTCGAGGAATTCATGATCATTCTTAAGTAAAATGTAGTTCTTAGGGGGGGGCTAGTAGTAGTCGTCGTCGTCGTAGTAGTAGCAGCAGCAACAGTAGTAGAACTAGTGCACGACTTCTTCCGGTACTACTCATATTGCTGCTCCTGCCGTCAATCCTCCAACTGCTGCTGCTGCTGCTGCTGTTGCCGCTGCCGCTGTACGACAGCTAGGGCAGGGACAGGCTTCGGGGAAATAATTGCGGGCCTGAGTTACAGAATTGTGGGTGCCGAGCTCCTCATAAGTGCGAGTCTGTTCTTTGGGGTCCCCATAGAAGGGGCCGCATGATTTTGTGCACTAACCCCCAAGATAAAAGAAATCTATGCATGCCAATCAACGGCTTCTGAAAGGTTTGCCCGTAGGCCTGCTACTCCCCCACGCCTCCTACTGAACCTATAGTAGTAGCAGCGTTAGTGGCAGTAGCAGTAGCGGTAGCAGTAATAGTAGTCGTGGTGGCGGTGGCAGCAGCCGCAGCAGCAGCAGCAGCAGTAGCAGTAGCAGTAGCAGTAGTAGGACGTCTCCGGCTTGGAAAAGGCACCCCAAGGAGGATAAATAGAAGGGTAAGAACAATTTTCGCACATGATGATGATGATGATGATGATGATGATGATATGGTATGATACGATATGATATAAGATGGTATGATATGAAATGAGGAGGCTATGATGGTATAATGATGTGATGTTGATATGCCGTGTAACGACATGTCATGATATGATAAGATAGGATATGATGTGATATGATGCTGGCGATGATGTGATTGTATGATGCGATGATGACATGCGGGTTGGCCAATCTTCCGTCAGCTCCAATTGGGGGCGTGCGCCGTGCTTGCACGCGCACAATTTGGTTCAAAATGGTTTTCGTGCAGGCTCATTACGCTAATACATTGAGATGGCTTGAATTTGTACTGCTATGAAGCCTAAATGGCAGGCTGGCCAGCAACCAACCTGTCTTTGAACGTTGCCGCGTCGCTGTTAAAGACATTCAGGGAGCCATAATGGACTAGATAGAAGCTGCCAACAGCTATGCGTGCTTGAGCGGAGTTTGTGCAAAGCTTGCGCGGACTCGCCGTGTAATGGAATTTCTGCCGTTGAGGTCATGGCTTGCGCTGAGCCATAGTTCGTTAGTCAAACCCTTGCACTAACCTTGCGCCGCGCTTGCGCGCGCAGGGCTTTTGACAAATTATGTTTACATGGTTTTCGTTGATGTAAATCGTAGACAAGGGTTTTCGGACAACCCTCACATAATGAAGTGATACGATATGACATGATATCATGACACCCGTTGCAGCAGTCAGAGTGGGAGTGCCACAGCCCCTCTCTACTACTACTGCCTGGCTAGCACTGTCACTTCTACTACCGCGGATACTCTTGCTGCTACATGTTGCATCGCTGCCGTGCTAATGCTGCTAGGGTGCACCATCTTACCTAGCATGGTCTTTGTAGTCTGTGTAAAGATTATTCGTCGCTATGTTGGATTTCCGTGAGGTGCGTGCTGTTGCTTTATCATGCCTACCCCGCCTTCGACGACGTCGGAGATGTGCTTGGCTCTCGCGTGGTTGTGGGAGGCTCTGTCCTCTTTGTCAGAAATTGCAGGGACGGTTGGCAAACACGACTACACTCCAAGGTGACTTTGCTGCTGTGGCGGCGCCACTCCAGAATTGTCGGCGTAGACCTTGAACAGTCAGACCGCCAAGAGCTCTTTGAGAGCACGCCCACACCAGCAACACTACGCAACTCCAACCGCGCTCTGGGACCACCCCAGCAAGTCTCGAACCAATGCAAAACCACCTCAGGAGTACTCAAAACACTCCAGGGCCTTCCTTAGCACTCCAGATCCACCAGCCCTTCACCACCCAAACTCTGCATGAAGCGGAGCACAACTTCAAGCCAAACTTGCGACACTCCACGCGAGAGCGCGACTTCTAGGCATCCAGGCACCAAACGTGTCGACGGGTCTGCACTTCTTGGCACTTACATTCACGGGACTGCGGCGGGGGCGCGATGTCCAGCCCAAATCGTACTGCGGGCCCCTAAACTCCGCAGAAGCCATGCGCTCGCTGCGATGTTCATCCAAACTGCGAGGACGCTCCACGCTCGAACGCGGAACCTGGCACATGAGCGCCCCACCCCTTTGACTAACCAACTCTCTTTGCTCCTAATGCTAAAGTCCCATTGTCAGCATGCAGCTTTTAAAATAGCACGCTAACCGAGGGAATAAAGAACTTTTCAAGACAAAGTACTCAACACAATAAGCCCTTGCACGCATGCCAAGGTCCCACGTCCATCGTTACCGTGCTCAATGCTACCCGAACCACCTCATACCTGTCCTCGAGCTTGTGGAGGGTGATGGGGCAACTTCTGGAACACTTTTGGCTGTCACATCGGCCAGCTCCCTGCCAAGTATTCTTGGACTCTTGCTGAGGACTTAATTTGAATCACATACAGGTCTCAGCTTTGCAAATGGCAAACAGTGATCATAAAACCTGTAGGGGCCCTCCCTTCTTCCCAGAATCTAAGATTTTTTTGAACTAAGGGCCTGTGCTAGACCATGTTTACCTGTCTCGACATCACGCACATATAAGCCTTTGTATGGTCGTGCTATGAATGCGACGCGCTCAAGGATCAATAGTGGCGCAAGGGACGGGCACCCCAAAGGTCTTCCCGATCACCGCAGAAGGTCAACATTGCACAGAAAAGCCCCAGGTCCCAAGCTTGGTGTTAACGACTGCAGGGAGCCAAGTTCAGCAGCACTGCCAATTCATCCCTAATTCCAGAACGAACCATCCGAGGATCCTACACGGATTGCTTCCGAAAGTACATCACCCAAATGTGCCTTTGGGAGGCCGGAATCTTTATGGAGGCTAGATTTTACCCAGCACTTGCTTTGTGCGTGTTTGTTGAGGGCTTACAAGTGCCAATGAACACGTTCTTGCCTTTGACGGTTGCCCAGCTGAGAGTGCGACAAGCTGCGCAAGCCGAAGGCCCAAAACCTCAAACCCTACGCTCAGTGCCCCGGACGCCAAGCCCACAATGCAGGTCCGAACGGCTCTTGTGAGGTGCTGGGCGTGGTGGTGCTCGTCGATGTGGGCTTGCACGATTCCTTGTTTCAAGCTTAGATAGGGTTTCAATAGGGCCCGCGAATGATGAGCAGTTCTCGTGACCTCTGCAGTGGGCAGTGCGGAGCACGTGCCGGGGAATTTACGGTTTCGAAATTCATCAAAATATAGAAATGGTGGCCCTGGACCCCTTCATGATTCATGAACTTCGACCCTCCTTTTGCCAATGGCCCATTATGCATTTCATGCTGGTTGACGGGATGGTTATTATGAAGAACCCACATTTTGGTCAACAGTCCTGGAGTTCCTGCTCGTTGCGTGGCACACGGAAGAGGTTGTAGCTCTCTGCCATGTCAAGCAGGTGGTCACACTCCGTGGTCTCCATGCAAAGGAACGCCACGCTGTTGTCGCAAATCTTAGTTGTCCAGCTTTGTTAAAATTAGAAGAAGGTTTATCTTCGGCCTGCTTTTGCCTTCGCTATTGGTGTCATTTCAAAAAAGTCAAGCTTACTCACTGGCCCGGGAGACGTAGGGCAGTGGGTCCATACCCCTGAGGGCTTGCATGATGAGCTTGTCCAGATAAGGACAGATGTCGGGGCACGCTGCGATGCAAGAGGGCGCATAGTCCTGACGGGATTCTGGAGTTTGAGGTCCATGGGACACAACACCTGCGCATCCAGAAGGCTCATCCGGATCTCCTCATGTTTACTGCCTAGGCTTCAGCATGAAATACGGATCTCCTAGAAGTCCCTAAAATGGAGAAGGCCACATTCCAAGGAACCAGGAAGTGTGTCATAGTCTGGGGAAACCGAACCCACACGCATCATGGTCAGTTCTGGTCTGGTGCCCGGCAAGATCGACTGAAAGTGACCCAAGTTTTGTAGTTTGGCTTGAGAGCTCGGGACTGGGTTGACTACGCATTTTGGTGGGTGATGAAGTGCACCCATCGTCCATCTGAAGCAACCTGCTTCCAGCAGGAACCTCAAGACCAAAACGTCCAGCGCGTCAACCGTAAAGCCCTCCTCGCTATGAACCATAGCACAGCATGCCTGCTTCCTAGACAGCTCAGTACAAGCAGTGAGTAATCATTTCCTGCAGACTTCCAGTGCAAGTTGTGCTGGCAACAACTTTTTCTCAACCATAATCGGGAAGGCCAAGTTGCCATCCGCAGTTGTAAGATGCCCGAAGCACTTGTCACTGAGGGGTAATATCCCTAGAACGCTCCGTGTGTTCCTTTTCTTGGAATGAATGCCGCGGATCGCTTATGCTGCCCCTGTGCATATGAACTGTGATGCGCAAGTTCTGCCTGGTAAGCCGGGTGCTCTTTGAAACACTGACCGTGATCACCCCCAGACTCAGATGCTGATCTGAACCTATGAAACACAAATTAGCAATGTGCCTGCCAAAATGGCGCCTCACACACCCATTATGTTGCAAAACAACACTCGTAAAACAACACATCATGCCGTATAGAATGCCACACTTTCAAAGAGATCCTCCAACTCCTACAATCGACGCATATTTCCCCACTGGCTAATGAAACCTGGACCTCCAAAAAGCAAGCGGACCTGAACAAACTCTGAATAGAAGCTTGGATTGGGACTTCTGGTCTCCCCAAGATGGAGACCCCCGTATATACACTCACCAGGCTTTCGAAGCAATCAACCTGATCTGTTCACCAAAAACCGAAATGAAAAGCCTTACTTCATATCCTCTACAGCATACAGTACAATTTACAATCCTGATATATGCACTCAGTCAAGGTTCTGGTATGCTCCCACGATTAGACAGCTGATAGCTCTTCCACACCGTCTCTACTCCTATAATATGATCCCTACATACCCCGGCCTATATACATCCACCCACCCGCCCACCTTGACGGCCATGAGGAGGCCAGAACCCGTGCAAGTTGCTTCCGCCAACTTGGCCTGGGCAGCAATCACATGCACCGCACATGTGGAAGAAACGATTCGAGGCTGGCTGTGCCTTTTCGATGTACGGGTTCTTAGATACGCAAATAGATACGAGCGGCGTCGTTTCGTACCCCAACCGCAAGGGACAACAACTTACCCCATAACCACATTTCGTGTCCCAAAGCACTTTCCCCATGGCACAGTGGACGGCCATGTGTTCAGAATGTGAAGCAAAAATTGTCGTGCCCTGGCGCTTCAGGTTGTTCAGCGCACGAAGAATAGGCGCAGACGGTCCAATTCCCCAAGGCACAATGCGCTTTGGTTAATTGGTCGACACATGTAGGAAAGCAAAACAAAAACCATCGTGCCCCGGCGTTTGCATGTTCTTCAGCACATAAAGACTATAGGCTCAGAAGCACATGTCCGAGGTCCAATTCCCCAAGGCACAACGCGTTTTGGTCAGTTGACCGACACATGTCAGAAAACAAAACAAAACCCATCGTACCCCGCCGGTTGATGCTACTCAGCACACGAAGAAAAGTCGTAGAAACACATCTCCAAGGTCCAGCTCCCCAAGGCACAGTGCCTTTTGGTCAGTTTACAGGAAGGAAAGGGATGACAAGAACCATCGTGCCCCGGCAGTTAATGCGAATGCGATTCGGAACACGCAGAATACGTGCTGCAATCCACGTTCGAGGTCCAGCTCCCCAAGGCACAGTGTGGTTAGTTGAGCGGTAGGAAGCGAAGCTTCCATCAGCACACACTCCCATATGACACCTGCAAGATCCTTCAGGGGTATGTAAGCTTCGAGACAAAACAAAATTCGGGGAAATATGAAAGTCAGCGGTACCCTATTGATAACCTCTCGATACCCCAAGCCTCCAACATAAGCCCATGTGGATTCCAGATTTCAGGGCCCCTAACCTGCCAGCTTTGTCCTTGCGTTATTTCCTAGAGTGTGAAGATCCCGAAGACCCTGTGGTAAAACCACTGTGCCTTGAGTGGCGGCTGATTCGGGGGGTTAGAAGCATAGCTGCTGAAGTGTTTATTTTTGATACAAATCCCCAGGGCACGCTGGTGTCCAATCGATATATCTAGTAGCTGTTCGTGTACCTTCTATTGCTATGAACCCCCCTTAGACTAGAAATGCTAGATTTTCAGTTGATGCTACAAGGAGGTGCAAATGTTAAAGCTAACATTGATTTTAAAACGACGTTGAGTCTACAGCAGGTGAAGAACTTTACGTTGCTATGTTGTGCACAACCATATCATCCCCAAGCTTTAATTGCGGAGGTTACCTAAGGATCGCGCGGTTGTTTGTTTTTGCTGTTCGGCCGGGTCTGCCAATGGCACCAAGCAGATGTGCTGGAATACCAAACAAATGCGTGGCATGGGTAAGGGGTGGTAGCGGGTAGCAATGGCAGGCGGTACAGGTGTGGTAGGGGTGGTGGAGGTGTCCGCTTGTTTCTAAATGCGCTTTGCGTGGCGGGGCAGAGGATGGCGAAAGCAATTTGATCGCTAACGCGAGACCGCCCTGGCAATGGTAGAGGAGAGGGGCCTAGCAGAGCAGAGCCCCCTCCGGCCCGCTCCCCTGCGGTGGAAGGGTGGGTGGTGGGAGGGCTGGTAGGCGGGTTGGGGTGTCTTGTGGAACCTGTTACTTATTCGGAAGAATTTCACCATAGGGGGACCGAAGCCAAACACAAGCAACTCAACCGCAGGTTTCATCCCCAACACACATTCCGCAAAGGCGTCATCGCAACCGAGTCTCAATGTGGGATGAAGTGGTCTGGATGGTCTGGAAAAACGTGATCTGCAGTCACATTTTCTGAAGAAAAACTAGCCAGCTTCACCATTGACGTTCGTCGAGGTCCTAGACAACCCTTTAAAGCATCAGTAGTTCAAATGATGTCATGGCCATAGCAGTCGAGCTAGACGTTCCTCAAGCGGACCACCATTCTGAGACCCCATCCCGATGCGTTGTGTATTAGCAGTGGTTGCTCGGTTGGTAGCGGCGGTACTGGCGGCAACAACTTTCGCTAACGCAAAATTTGTTCAAGGACTTCTGCGTCAGCAAGGACGTCGGATATTTGAGTTCGAAGAATGTCTGAGCTTTTCATGTCAAGCTACTGTAGTTGCTAAGGACGGCACCAACGCCACCATGCAAAATGCCAGCGCATGCCGGGCTGCCATGCTGCCTACTGCAGACAGATGACGGCTCTAGTAGCAGAACTGCCTTGCAAGGCTAGGTTCTAAAATTGAAGCAGTTGGACAAAGGCAAAGACATCAAACTGCCAAACGTCCGGAGTCCAGAAACTTGCAATTGCTACGCTAGTTGCCGGACTGAAGCTTCTCACGGGACAGAAGCTTTAAGCTAGCAAGCCAAATGCTGCAGGCATTGTGTGTGGGCAAAACGCCTGGGCGACCAGTTGCCTGTATCAGAAAATTCTGAGTCTTCGTGCTAGTGATCTCATTACGACTCTTATGTGACAGAGGCAGCAGCTGCAGAGCAGGAGCTTCATCACCATCGCAACCACCACCTGAATCACCATCATCATGATCATCATGATCATCACCATCATCATCATCATCATCATTTGTAGCAGCATCCTCATCATCACCATCATCATCTGTAGCAGCATCCTCATCATTATCATCTTCATCACCATCATCCGCGTCATCATCTGTGCATGCATGTTTCCATGCGCGTGCAAACAGCACAATTGAGGCACCTGCTTGGGACTACTATGATCACAAGATTTTTCAGCATGCTTCTTCTGCGGTGTCTGCGACTTGCTCTCCCCAAGGATGCGCGGACGCCGGCGACGCAAAGGTCTGCGCAGAAGTGGCTGCCTTTGAGAGGAGGCCAAGCACGCTGGCCAGAAATCAAGACTGTGTCACCTGAACAAAAAGGCATCGACTTCTTTCGTGGGCATGTGGAATAGTACTACATTTAGATTAACTGAGGAGGGTTATTACAACGCAATGATCTGATGATAGGCATACTAGCCAGATGAAGATTCAAAGCAAAAGCTATAGGCATTGGCATACACAGAACGAGGACGGCGCTCGGGACGGAGATGGTGGCTTCAGGCGTGCCGCAGCCTCCTCCCATATCTCAAACAGGCCCCTTCTTCGAATTGGACGAGCAAGATCTTTGAACAGGCAACGTGCCCATGTACTGTTCGCGGCACTCCGCGTCAGCTGCGGAAACGGCAGCCCTTGTGCTGCATGTGAAAGCAGGACTCTCCAACCAGCGGAAGGGTGGATCTAGCACATATTGGTCGGTGTCAGTGTTCTGCTTAAAGTTGGCACATGGCCCTCAAGGCCACCAGAAATCTCTACCAGCCACTGCAGAGGGCCCTGACCCTACCTTGCAAAGCCCTGTCTTCAGGGGCATCCCAAGGTCTGTACAAGTTGGGCGCATCAAAGTCTGGATCTCAGCGTGCTGTTAAGTCCGCAGTGCCAAGAGAGAGGTCATGATCGAATGCTCCCACCAGGATTCGCACGCTTTGGTAATGTTTTTGTGTCGCTTCTGCAAACTTTAGGAAATTCCGTGAGCCAATATTTGCCAATATCTTACAGCTTTGTGGGCTCGGCATAATAAACCCAGGAGCTCTACAAGCGGCTTCAAAGTTTTAATAGTAAGATCATCTTCAAACTCAATCGGTCGCAAAGCTTGTAGAGAAACTAGGCAAGCGTCGCCAATACGTTGCA